ATTTCTATTTAATCTTTATTTAATTAATATTTTGGGGGTGTTCTTTTTTCAAACCAGTTGCGTGTGGCAATCTGGGGCGCACCGGTTGGGAAGCCAAATGAACGTGCTGCTTATATTTTAGGCGTTCATCGAGAAGAAATTTTTTCCTGCTTGTTTTTAATGCTTTTAGATGTAATTATTAATTGTATTAATTAATATTTTTAGAGGGGTTTATTTTACAGTTGCGCATCATAATCCGGGCCAAAACTTGGGGTGCGCTGGATCTCCTGCGAAGCAAAACAAACGCACTGCTTATTTTTTTTACGCAGTTATATTTAATTAAATTTTTTTTCTGCTTATTTTTATGCATTTCTATTTCATTAATTATTTTATTAATTAATTTGGGGAGGAACTACATCGCCTAATCTGGGGCAGAACTCGGGCTGTGCCGGCTCTCCTGCGAAGCAAAATGAAGGCGCTGCTTAATTTTTTAGGCATTTCTATTTCATTAAATAATTTTATGCATATTTTAAATGCGTTTATATTTAATTATTTTTATTAATTAATATTTCTGAAGGGTTTTTTTACAGTTGCATATTGTTATCTGGGCCAGAACTTGGGGTTTGGGGTGCGTTGGATCTCCTGCAAAGCAAAATAAACACACTGTTTACATTTATAGATTTATATTCAGTTATTTTTTCTGCTTTTTTTTTCTGCCTTTATATTTAATTATTATTTTTATTAATTAATACTTTTGGAGGGCTTTTTTTTTTGTGGTTGCATTGCGTAATCCCGGCCAGAACTCGAGGTGTGCCGGATCGTCTGCGAAGCAAAATAAATGTGCTGCTTATTTTTTATGCATTTATATTGAATTAAAATGTCTAGTTATTTTTTTATGCCTTTAATTATTATTTTAATTAATTAATACTTTGGGGAGGGGTTTTTTAACACTTATATCACATAATCTGAGCCAGAACTTGTAGTGTGCCGGGTTGCCTGCGAAGCAGAATAAATGGTTTGCTTATTTTTTAGGCCTTTATATTTCGTTAAATTGTCTGCTTTTTAAAAATGAGTTTATATTTAATTATTATTTTTATTAATTAATACTTTTGGAGACCTTTTTTTACAGTTGCGTCTCATAATCCTGGCCGGAACTTGGGGGTGCGCTGGATCTCCTGCGAAGCAGAATGAATGCATTGCTTATTTTTTAGGCATTTATACTTTATTAAATTGT